ACACATTTAAATATGCGCCTTCAAAAGTATTTTATTTATTTTATTGTTTTATTTTTCTGTTGGACTGTATATGTGAATAAATTACTATACAGTCATACGTTGAACTAAGAGATTGCAAGACTTAAATTATGTAGGCTATTGGCGGCACTTTTGAAGCCACGAGGCCTATTTAAGCCAAAGGTTAAACGAGTTCAAGCAATCTCCCATTACAGTTGTAAATTCAGTTGAAATATTACACACATTGTAATTTATTTACCTTAACTTGAAAATTAATGGGCCTATTATAACCACAGGCCTAAATTTCACTAGACTCCAAGTTTACCCATTTTTTAAAAATTATTATTATTATTATTATTATTATTATTATTATTATTATTATTATTATTATTATTATTATTATTATTATTATTATTATATGGCAACATATGTTCCACTCGGGACAGTGTGTAGTCCAATTTTCTTGCAGGACATTCTCTATAATATGCACACTGCATTAGATGGCCCTTTTCTTGTGATTATTACCAGGGGTAATATTTCATCGGCTTCACGCAATCTTTGTTGTGTGTGAAGATAATAAATGGCCTAATCGTTATCAGCAAACTGCTGGGGGTGTCAGCAGCGACCGAGGCTGCGAGCGGGCTCCAAAGTGCTGCTGAATAAATTGGTGTTCCTTATCTCTCTCTCCCAGATTATCACCGCCTTTTCAAACTTGCACAACAAATACATTCAATGCATCTAATGCATCATTTGTGGGGGGAGATCCCGGAGGTTGATAGAGACAGATAGGCGCAGGGAATGAGAAATATTTACACGCTTTATGCTGCACCGGGACAGCCAAGCACCGTGTGGCGTTGGAGGCAGGTTATTGGCCCACATGGACACGCACACTTTACATATCAATACAAGCTATATTAAACATACATCACCAGGATACGATTCTTATCGGGATGATTAGTCCCACTACTGCTGTTGCCTCAGATTGGCTTCATTTTTCACTTTACCTTCTTTGAACATACATGTGCGTGCATTATACAGTCAAACATCATTAAGATTGAACTTTATACAATTAATACAATGTCATCAGATATTGGTGGTATTCAGATTTCAAAATGTGATGATGCCATAGTCTCAGGGAGGCTAAAGCCAGTTTTTCCTGTTGCTTTATTCTCATATGAAATTACTAAAAGAATGTTGCTCATGTTTTTCAAATCAAAGTGAAAGGTGTATTTTATTCGTTAAATAGCCTATTCTATTATTTCCTTTAGACTATAGAAGCCTAAATGATAGTAGCGTATACCGTTAGTGTGATGTCATGTGAATGCAAACTCACTTCAGTTGCAAACTTTCCAAACAGCAACAGTGCGTACATAAATTTAATTTGCTTGCCTATTTGTCCTTCTTGAGCGACCTTGTCCTAGGCTAAACCTGCCCTGTCACATTCGTCCACGTAGCCGGAGCAGGTCAAATGAGCCTACAACAGTTTATAACGGACCATGGGCCATAATGCAGTATTTATGAGTGGCTTTATTTAAATAGAAAATAAAACATTGCCAATAGGCTACACACTGCGTACACACACACACACACACACACACACACACACACACACACACACACACACACACACACACACACACACACACACACTCTCCTTTTAATACCGCGCGGCATCTCCACCGGGCCGGTGCTCTGATGGTCTCCTAGACGACCAAGATAACGCAGCAGCAGTTTTCCATATCGGGCCCGGAGTCTATTATAGCTCGGATTAGCTCTTTTTCCGAAAAGGTCATGCACAAAGTCACCAAACCCGCGCCCCTAAACGTACAACGAATGCACATTCATAAACATGCATACATTTTATTCAGTAGGTTATCATTAAGCTAATAACAGCGCATTTTCCGTGTCCATAGCTAGTCATTCAACTGAAGGCCACCAGAGTGGACTGATCTCCTTTCTGCATGGACCAGGCCATCCGCTTGCAAGCCATTTACTGATATGTAGCGACCTCTGGCGATTGCATTGAGAAATAGCAGGTGATTCTCGGGCGCTCTATAGGCTAATCAATAGGAGAAGGCCTGGATATCAAGTCTAGACTATAGGCTGCACCCAAAGAAAGAGAGCACACCGCACAAATGAATGGCCCAGCTGGGATTCCCGGTGATTTTAGAGAAATTTTGAGAAACTCTGACAGGAAGTGCGTTTAGGGAGGGTCAACTTTTAGTGCATGCAGTCAGCCAGAAAGCAGTTTCCTGTAAGTTTTAGGCTCTTTCCATGTGTTTATGGATTGCTATTATATGTGCAGCATCCTCCCTAGTTCTTCTACGCTAAGCCTATAAAATATTTTTGCTGAGTGCACTGCAGCAAATTCAAATGATTATAAAAGTGTTATTGGTTGTAGCTTATATAGGCTACAGGCTTACTTAAACTTGCAGGATGCAGATGTCACCACAGGAGTGAAACTTCCTGCCCATCAAAGAAGCTTATGCCAGTTTAATGGACTGAAATCAGTAGCCCATAGCGGAATTAGGGATATTTTGGCAGTTTGCAGATGGAGGAAGTAGAGATTGTAGGTAGAGATGTGATGGATTGATATACCGACTGCAAGAGGAAAAATCTCTTTGTCTCTTGGAGCTGAGTAGACAATCAAAGTTTCCTATCAGCTCTGGAGTAGGGGAAATTGGCTGCCCTGGGAAGGAGAGGGCCATTCTAACAGCCAATGGGAAGTGCCCCTGTCACTCTAACCAACTCCAATAGAGAAAGTAGGAAATGTGTGTTCTCTGTGTGTGCAGAAAGAGCAGCCTTGTGTCACTTGCCTTCATGTTATCCTGGATGATAGTCTGAAGTAGCTCACCACTTTGATGTGCTGCTGCAGATCCTGGGCGCTGAGGGACGGGGAAGAACCATGCGGGCACATTTTTTGGCAGAACCTCCCCCCAGAGCCATGACCATCAGTGCTTTGAAGGAGCGCCATGTGGCAGAGAGGAGAGGGTCTTAGTGGGAGCTGTGGACAGTTGCACAACAGCGGTAGAGGAAGGGATTACTGTCCTGCTGATACAAATCCATGCAGAGATGCAGGCTGACAGCAGTGTACAGAGGTGGCGAGTGTATGGTTCTGTGCTGTCTTCTGTATATAATGTTTTAAAGGGCTCATATTAGGCCATATTCTGATCTATGTTATAAAGTTGTTTCCTCATCAAAAAAATACCTGGAGTTCTGTTTTGTTTAACATAGAAATCTTGCATAATTACACCAAGTTCTTCTCTCAAACAGAAAATACTCATCTTGTATACTACTTTCATCTTGTGATGTCATGTGGCAATACAGGAAGCGCTTCAGTGTGTTTTAAACGTCATACACCTTCACTTGACTCATTTGTTTCATGACATCTCAAGGTGGAACAGAGCATTTTGAGTAAATTTTGCATTTTGCCTTAATAATAGTGGTAATTTGAAAGCATTTAAAAATATATATATATTATCACTGAAACATTTTTAACAAAAACTAGATGCATGTTGCAGGCCATACATCCCACCTGCCTTCAGCTTCTCACTCAAAAATGCATCTGTCCACACGTTTCTCTCCTCTGTTTGAAGTCCTCTCCTCACCTCCGCTTTCGCCATGCCGTCCTTCCCT